TTATCACACCTGAGTGTGTTCAAACAAGTACATACAACAATTTCTCCTAGACTCAACTAGGCATTTCACGTTTCTATCAAACATATCTTGGATTTCTTAAATTCACCTTCTATAATTCTTTTGTGCATAAGCTCGATCTAGCATATCCTAATATATATATTTTTTCCTAGGTCGATAGGAATTTCACTACCAAATTCTTCATATAAATTATTTCTCTGGTAGTGTCTACTTTACAAGATATACAATACCATAATTTACTCTAGTAGTGTGGAGACAAACAGTCTCTAACTATCTGTATCATCTTCTAACTCATGCAAGTCACCATCCACATTTATTCATTTCATTATCCTTTCATGACATCGTCATTCCTTTATATGGGAAAATTTCCCTCTCATGGGTGTATCTTTTAAGTCTACTTCATAGGAATCTATCCTAGGAAGTCTTCATTTTAACTGTATCTCAGCATGTTCTACTAGCTTCGACTTGGTTCTTTGTCATTCCTAACAGCAACATCTCTTCTCATGCAACACTATGAGTGTATATCTTCTTCAACTATATACTCTACCTTACTCTGACTAGTAAGTCATTCAGCCTAACTAAATGACTCATTTCACCATCCTAACCAAGTATGTTAAAGTCGACTTAACACACTATGCAACTTTTATAAGGATGTGATAGAAGTCAATTGTCACTCAGTATTATTAAATACTAAGTCTAAGAATCTTGTATAGGGTTACATATCAGCTCTTACCATACTACTCGAACTGCATACTACATCACAATGTTAGGCAAGGTCTTGGCCTATTGAGTCTGAAAACTTTGTTAGCCTTTCCTTTAATCTTCATTGAGTTCTTTTAAATCATGCATAATCATCAATTTTGATATTGTCGAAGTATTTATCACCATTTTCAGCTCTTCTAACTTTGTAAGCAATCACTACTTCAATCTGGTCAGCGGTGGAACAACTTCATGGATTTCACCAAAACATTCATCTCGTCTGAATGTACTTTGAACACACAACATTCCTCCAAAGGTGTTATTATTTCATGAAACATAATTTAATGTACAACACCACTCTATAGGTATTAATACACTATTCACGGTATCACTTGATAGATTTTATTTTACGATATCCCTCAACCGTTTATTTATGAAGTTTTCGATGTCAACTATCGTAAGTCTCCTTATCACCTCAAAAAGTTTTATGTCGAGAATGATATCAAAGTTGGGCAAGGAGATTGGAATCAGGTTAATAAGAAAATTTTTATCCTTCTATTTCTATGACACAATCTCTATAGATTTTATCAACAAGTATTGATACACTTCCCGCGGTATTTACATGAAACGATTGGGCGAGTGCATAACAAGTCATTTGAAAAAAATGCGCAAATTCATGAGACACAAAAGAATCCGAGGCACCAAAATCAAATAAGATGTGAGTAGGTCTAGAATTGACGAGAAATGTACCGGTCACAACATTCGGGTCCTCGTGTGCCTCCTCTGCGATAATCTGGTATGCACGGCCTTTAGCTTTTGGCACCTCCTCCTTTTTAGTTGAAGTACTCATCGGTTGTTGAACGAAAGCTTGACTTCCCATTATCTGGCTAAAAAGAGTAGGACATAAACGCTTTCTATGGCCAGTAGCACCGCAAGCATAGCATGTAACATTCTTCCTCGGGCAAACGGGCTTCACGTGACCCTTTTCTCCGCATCCATAGCAAATCACTGGTCTTTTTCTGTTCTTCATTGACCCTGGTGATCCTTTCCACATTTTCGACACGATGGTGACTGAAGAGAAAAAGATTGAGACCAACCGCGACCACGAAATTGATTATGAGATTGTACTTGTCTGCTAGAATCAGATCGAGCTGATTGAGCCGATGGAATAGAGGAAACAGAAACAGTTCGATTGACATGTGGATGCTTCGAAATAGAAAGAGTGGCACCACATATCTCTAATTCGTGCTCGCGCTTTCGCATATTTTATTTATCTTTTAGCACATATTAGAAAAAATGGAATCTCCCTTAAAGCATGCTAGTGCACACAATAGCAAGTGAGGTATTCAACGTAAAATATACTAGGCACACATTGTACCATCATTACTTAGCAATTCAAGTTTAAGCCTAGAAATCCTTACAATTACTAGTTTGCTTAAACTAATGCTCTAAAAATTCTAAAGTAGCTTAGTACTTTAAAATATTAAGATTTATCATTATCCAATAGTCCACTTAATTCTTTCCTATGGTTTGTATCCATATACTCCTAATGAATCCATTCATATATTGAACTTCCGACGGTTTAAGTCTAAATACCAATCCGTGGTATTTAGTTCACTTAAACTACTACTCTGATACCATGATTGTGAGAACCCCTCTCTAAAACTACATCATATTACTCCAAAACATGCAACACGCATATTCATAAACAATATTTTACATTGATAGTTTAATTACAAAAGACTGGATACAAACCGACTAAGTTTTAGTATATTACATAACTACCCAGGAAATTATAATTTTATACATACACGATCACTAAATACAAAAGTAATATTATAAACTATTCTAAATCTTTCAACAGTATGTGTCTATACTGGATCCTTATTACCTGTAATAGTTAAACACTGAGAGGGATAAGCGGTGACGCTTAGTGAGTTCAAAAATAGATACAATATAACGTTATGCCATATATATACCAATATGACAAAAGCAAAGAGGAACAAAGAACAACAAAGGCATATGTGAATCATGTGACAAGCTTTCCATATCAACAAATGATCTAATTCAAAGATTTACAATCAATGAGATACAACAAGTTCAACATGATATACATCAATAAGACTTTTGCCTATGTGGCATGGAAAAATAAACAATTTCTGAATAAAAATTTTGCTAGCACTTTACAGGCTTTTCAGCCCAAGTGATGCTTAGTCATTTACTTCGTGGCATGGAAAAATAAACAATTTCTGCCAATGCAAAAGTGATGCTTAATCATTCACTTCATAGTCAAAGGCTACATACCAATACCCAAGTGATGCTTAGTCATTTACTTCGTGGTCAAAGGTATAGCTCTGTTACCAAAATAATACGAGACATGCTCTACATAGCCAAAGGTATAAAACCAGAATAACACAGGAAAGCACATTGAACATATAACACATAACATACAATTGTCCCTATATTGAACTCACCATGAAATAATTGGAGGTTAAAATAGTAATTTGGGCAACACTTCGTTTCTATAATTAACTTTCTTCGATGAAAACCGGGAGCTTTATTGAAAATTGGGCCTTGCGAGATTTGAGCTTCAAACCGAAAAGATAAATTTCTCGGGGTCTTCGGGCACTTCGGGATATTTTTCAGGTGTTAGGTATGATCCTGGGGCTTCGGGGGTTAAAGGTAGCTTAAAATAAAAATTAGGGTGTAAAAGTATGAAAAATACCAACCACAACCGGGAGGGTTCGCACCTCCCTTATATATGGTGCGAGGCTTCGGTCGAAGGGGGGAAGAGGGAACACGCGTCGGACATGCGAGGGCGAGGGGGAGGCAGGTGTCAGCAGCGAGGGCGAGGCACGCGTTAGCAGCCAGGGCAAGGCACGCGTCGGATGCGCAGGCGAGGTGGCTCACTTCGGAGCTTCGGACGCGCCACGATTCGGACACGCGTCACGCATGCGAGGCTTGTACGTGGCCGAGTCCGAGCCTAGTATGCGAAGCTTCTCGGATTTTGTGCCCAAATCTTCAAAAATTCATAACTTTTGCATACGAGCTTCGTTTTCGACATTCTTTATATGCATGCGTAGGCGAGATTACACTCTACAACTTTTGTTTCGACCCGTTGGCTAATTTTGACTTTATTTTTAATATTATTATTTTTAACAGTCCGGGATAGGAAAATCCATTAAAAATTCATAACTTCTTTATCTGACGTCCGTTTTCGTCTGTCTTTTTACCGTTGTACTACTATTGACGTGACCTTCGATTCTCGTTTAGGTTGTGTCGGCTAACAAATCACTCAATCTTTATTTCGAGTTTTTAGCTGTATACTGCTATACTGAAACTTAGAAAAATCATAACTTCTTCATACGAAGTCAGATTTGGACGTTCTCTTTATGAAAGTTCTCGGTTTAACAAATACTACGACTTTCATTTAGATTACTAAAGCTAAAAAGTAGTTTATCGAAAACTAATTTTTTACGCTAAATAGTGTTTTGCCGGTTTTGTCGCGGATCTTCGATTGGTCATAACTTCTTCGTTATAACTCGGATTTCGATGAGGTTTTCGCCTAAATGTTTCTAATGAGATAATATACAACTTTCAATTACATTATTTTTATTTATTTCCAACTTTATATTTTCGTTAATTTCAATATTGACTTTTGATTGGAATCTCATAAGACTTCCAATACATTTCGAGTGATTCTAAACATAGTTTTACTTCAAATCTCGTAAAAACTATCTTGTTAGAACTCAACACTCAAAAACATATAATATTATTCATTTTAAGCTAATAAGCGTTACAAAACACAATAATAGAACAAGGTTATTAACGTGTATGTTACAGAACTACTTCCATATGTTGAACATAGACAATGTGTCAGACACATCTATGCAAACTTCAGGAAGAAATACATTGATTTAGAGCTTAACAACCTGTTTTGAGAAGCTACCATAAGTACTGTGGAGGGGGACTTTATAGCAACAATGGAGAAAATCAAACACATAACTCCCAGTGGCTATGAATGGCTGATGTCAAACAAACCACATTCTTGGTGTAGGGCATTTTTCTCTCATGGATATGCTTGTGAGGTTGTAGAGAATGGCATATCAGAGTGTTTTAATTCGATGATCATTCAAATGAGAAAAAAACCACTTCTAACAATGCGTGAGGAAATCAGGATTTATTTGATGAATAGGTTTTATCATCAAGATGCTATAGTTTCTCAATGGAAAGGTGGCTATGACACAAACACCTTAAAGAAGATTTAGGAGTTTGGAAAGCATATGAGGTATGCTTATTTTATTTTAATTTTGATCTGAAGTCTATACATGTGCATTACTAATTACTTACACTAACTGTTTTAGGTTCTGGATAGTAATACCAAGTGGAGGGGCAATATTTGAGATAAGACATGGATATTCAGCTTACAAGGTGGATTTAGATGCTCATTCTTGTTCATGCAGATTATGGGAGATATCAGGGTTACCATGTGTCCATGCTCAAGCTACAATCAATTTCATACATAAAGATCCAGTTGATTTGATTTCCTTCTGGTTCCATAAAGACAAGTTGATAGAGACATACAGGGAAAACATCTTACCTGTTAATGGAAGTAATATGTAGCCCCATACTGAATATTTGAAGCCCTTACCACCCCTTCTTAGGAGAATGCCTGGAAGGCCAAAAACACAGAGAAGAAGACATCCCTCAGAAGCTCAGGATTCTAAGTTCCCAACTCAAAAGGAAAAGGCAGGGAACTTGGTGAGGGAAATGTAGGGAACTTGGTCATAATAAGCTGTCTTGTAAGAATGGAGAAGGTCTAAGTGACCATGACTCTAAAAGGAAAAGTAGAAGACTAAAGGAAGATGGGGGATGGAATTCAACTGTGAACATTGCAAAGACACCAAGGAAAGCAGGTGGGGGAAATAAGAAAGATGTTGAGGGCACATCAAAAGAAGAAAGTGAGGGAAAGATGAAAGTTGTTGAGGGCACATCAAAAGAAGTAGGTAAGATGATAGATGTTGATCAATCAATTTCTCACTTGAAGAGAATGAAGATGATGGCAAGGAGGGGAGGTAAGATCAAATATGTAGGGGGAATAGGGGTTGTACATGGTAGTTTAAGTCAAACTGTGGCAGTTGTTGATGAAGTTGTAATTACCTGCCATGAAAAGCTTGACCAGGAAGATTTTGAAACTATTAAAGATTTGCAGGCATCTAGATATGATCATGGGGAAATTGCTGAAGCTTTTAATAAGGTGTGTAGTTATAAATTTAGTTATTAACATAATTTTCTTGAACATTATGTGATAATATGTTAATTTCTTATTCACAGTTGACAAAAAACAGAGGAAGGAAATGTTGGTTGAGAGTATAGTTGATGAAGCGACCATTCAAGAAACACAGGATCCGTTGGTAAGAAAAAGGAAGCCCTCAGAAAGAATTATCAAGATCAAGCTGAAAAAAGCAGTGCATGATCCAGATGGAGGTGGTTCAACAACTGGGAAAGCAATTACATTGGACTGATGTTGTTATGGATGGGGGGGGGGGGGGGTTAATTGGGCATAAATCTTTTGATAACCCTTTTTTGTGAAAGCATCTTTTGGTAACAAGCTTCCAATTTGTTGACAACATGTTATCTTTTGACTGTAATTTGTAGTAAGTACATTGTCATTTTGGGAAATCATCTTTTGGCTCATAAACATTGTTATAAAATTGGAAGTTTGGTTCTGATTGTTACCCTCCATGTATGTATTTAACTATTATGTTTATAAAGATTGTGGTTTGTAGTAAGTTCAATGTCAGTTTGTAATGGATAGTACATTGTCAATTTTTGGTTAATGCTTTTCATATTAATTGTCCCGTAGGACTATATATTACAAGGGTACCCATATTACAACCTTCAAAATGTTTTTCAAATGCTATTACAACTGTCCCATAGGACTGTAATACCCAATTCCCAAAATAAGCATCTAATACAACTTTCACCTAACCAACAACTTCACAAAAGACTAAACTTAACTTCCTAACTTCCTACACTTTCACCAGCAATACAATCCATGTTACCAACATCACTTCAAATAGCATGACCATGATGAACAGAAGCTTCATCATCAACATCAACCTCCTATTTTGATCCACAATCACCTGTTCCAACTGAGCATTGCCATCAGCCATACCAACCAGAGCTAAATGCATTTGGTACATCCGGTTTTTGTAATCTTCACTAGCCAAAGGTGGGTCCAGCCACATGAAGAACTTACAATACCTGAAAGGATCCTGCATATTTTTATGATGGCTTTGCCCTTAGTCCCATAACAAAACTTTATAATGGATCAAAGAGTAAAGAACATACCTTGAAGTTGGTGCATCCCCTAAATTTCCTTCCAAGATTCTTGTCCATCCAGGAAATTGAGAAGCTAGCCTCAACACCACAACGATACAAAACCATGGGGTTTTTTATGTTCCTGAATTTGACATTAACATTTTGCAATCCTGAAGTCATTGACCCTGTAGATGAACTAGCCATGAAGAAGTTATTGCGTGGAAGAAGAAGTCGGAGAAGGAAGAAGTAGGAGGTGGAAGAAGGGTTTCTAACTGTTGAAACCCTATTTGTAAAGGGGTAACCAGCTGAAACCGGCGAAACCAGCTAACAGGGCTTGAGGCAAAAGTCAACACATACATAATGGCTAATTAGAAACAAAAAATCCATTTAGGGTTAATTTAGAATCGGGGTGTAAAAGTGAACACATACATAACTCTAATCTCTTTTGACAAACTATACAATTAAAAATAAAAAGAACGAAACAAAAGAAAATAAGGGTGCCAAGTTTGCCTGCTATGCTATCCCAATTTCTAATTTTGGCCGCCTATCAAAACCCTAATTTGTTTCTTTTGAAAACCATCATTGATCTCAACTATTAACATACTCCACCTCTTATCCTTTTCGATATCCTTGGTTCTCACGATAAGAGTCGGACCATCAGAGAGAATTTATAAAAAAAAAAAAAGCTGAGAAATTATAAACTCCCAAGCAATAGGCGTTTTAGGCCCTACACCCACCATCTCAACAATTTCATTCATTCGATTTTGGATATTGGATATCTTCTATGGGATTTTGGAAGTCAGATTCAGTTGTTCTTCTGCAATCCTTCAAAGTTCGAACCATTTCATGCTTCTCTCCCAATTGATCCTACACCTGGCTCGGATAGGGTTATACAAAACGTTTTTTGCGAAGATCATCAAGTCGATTGTGCAGGAAATTGATTTAGGAACCGACTCTATTCCCCTGTTCTTGTTGTTCATCACCACCCTAATGCTCTCTATCTATATAATTGTTGCAATCCTTTTTTATTATTGATTGTGCTTTGAACTGAAAACTTGATTCCTGGTTGTTTGAATCGTGATCGTTGAATTTAAATATTTCTTTTTGATTTTGCTTCCAATTCGAATTTTTTGAAATTCATTTGTTTTCCTTTTGATTTTGTGGTTTTTACTTGGTTTGTAACTGTATGTAGCCCATACCACCCAAGATTCAAATTTGGAGCAGATCACTATCTCGTTAACTGTAACAATCGAGTAGTTATAAAAGTATAGAGATCTTTAATCATATTTATCGTATTACCTAACTCTGATATGATGTGGTTTCTCTTTAAACATTTACACAGGGAGCTAAACTGATGGAAGAAAAAATGCTACTTAAACAAGAAGTAGGACTCTTTGACCATTTTAATCAATTTATGTTGTACTCTTTAGCTCAAAAGTACTTTTTATAGTCATTAACATGATTTTTTTTTCCAACGGGTATATGTTATGAAGACTTCAAATGGAAAAAGGTCAGGAACTGTTGAAGAATCCTGGATATCAAGATGGATACAACAACAATAGGGGACAGAGGAAAAGAAGGTGCGATAAAATTTAATTCATGTATTGCCATTCGCTTATTAGAATTCATCACTAACAATTATAAAGATCAGTTATAATTTAATCCATGGAGATAGGAGGTATTTTGTTCTTAGATAAAATACTTTTTTGTATAAGTTTATGACTGGTGCTATATGTTTTTGTAAATGACTATGTGAGACGGTGTAGTGGCTATCGTCTGTATTGATGTGTTCATATGTGTGTGTGTGGCTTTGTACTTTTGTGAGGTACTTAATGAAATTACCATTTATTTTTACTAAGACTATAACACTTAATTCAACCATCTATTATTTAAATATATTTATAGTAAGTTTTGTTGGTTAATTTATTGTATAGATATTGTTCTGATGGTAAATGTAGCACAAAAAACTTAATTAGTTTTTAATTGAAAACCAAAATCTTCATATACTTGTAATAATTTTTAATAGTTAATCTATTTAAATTTTGAAGAAGAAAATAATAGAAGTTTATAAGCCGAAAGCAGTTCCAATTGAGTCTGAAACTCATTCTATATTTTTAAATACTAGTGTTTCTGATTTCGGTTCGGATTCAAGCACTATCAAATTAAGAAACCAATCGACTAATGTTTGCATCGTAGATTAAGATTTTTATTCGTTCATGAAATACCTTTTGTTGTATTTTTCTTACCACACAAACCTAAAGTAATGGCTAGAAATGAAAGATAATGGTTTTGCTTTTTTTTTCTTACCTAAAGATTACATTACATACTTTGGTCGAAGCCCTGATCAGATGCAACTTTAACCATTCGTTTTGTAAAGGTGCCCTATAAAGTTGAATCATGAATGATATTGTTCGTATTTTCTATGGAAAACTGTTTTGGTTTGGAATTTCAAGTGTAAAATGAATATAAGAAAAGTGGGACAGTTTTACTCCAAAAGGGCAATATGGTCTTTTTTTTTTTTTGGGTTCTGATGCAAAAATTGGTACGAACCCTATTAATGATTTATGTCCCCTTTTATAGGGTATTTTGATCGACTTAAAGGAGTCATTCAGATGAAACTTTAACGATTTGTTTTGTACATGTTGACATCACTCCAACTATTATATGAACAAAATATATCCCAAAAGTCAAACTGAGATATGACCAAAACTTATTGATGTAGGTAATTCCAACGGCCTTCAAACGAAAAAAAAAAATGACATTTTTTTTTGCAAAAACTGTCCCAAAGTCTAATAATATGTTATGTAGTTTGGGTGGGACTCAATGACTCTATATAAGTCAAATTGTTGACTAGTCAACAAAGGGAATTTTGGTGTTATTTATTTCTATTGATTTGATTCTTAATAATAGGTATAAATTAATAGAAAATTACAACCTATTACATCTAGACACTAACCTCCTTCAAATTTAGTTCCTGTGCCTATCATTTCTAAAAATAGTTTTGAGTTGTTGAATTACTATTCTAAAGATTCGGTTATGGTTAAGGATTTAGGTGACGATAGTAGAATTGTTTATGAGGGTCTCCCTTTCTTTTGTATCCTTTTCTTTTTGTTTTATAAAAATTTCCAAAGGATCTCCCTCTTTCCCAAAAATAAAAAATAAAGCACAAAATATATTAATAAGTCACCGGTAAATACTTACACCAACATATTTTCATTTTATGAAGACTATTCTTTAACTTTAGACACACATTAGTATAAAAAGAATGACCATTATATAATCATAGTCACACATTCAATGAGCATACTATAATTATACTGATCAGACATTATTTTACTTCTATAACTAGATTTACCTACAGACACACGTAATAATTGTAACCATAACCAAATTCTACTTATACTAACAATATTTTTTTTTCAAAGCCAATTCATCATATTTTGACACAAATAATAAAAGACACATGACCATAAACCACTAAAAGTAACGTGTTTTCTTGCATTTACTAAATCACTAGTAAACAACACCCTATGGACATACAAATATTTAATGTGGCAATATATACGACATGTTAGCTACATTGGATTTTATGTGTCTAAAATTGCATCATGATATAGAAAAATATACAATTGTCTCATGTGACCATATATTTATCTATTGTCTCTTGTAAAAAAATATCACAAGGTTAATCAGTATACGTGGCTGATCGTGACATAAGGTCACGTTATTCGACTATGACTAATAACGGTCACATTTGTTATAATTAAATGTGGTGATTATCTATACAATGGCCACAAAAACTAATTTAAATGTATCCAAAAACAGTATCTAATTTTTTTTAGTGATCTTTGGCCTCACTCTTAATAAAAAGTGTGACAGACCGTTTTTCGAAAAGTGTGGCCGTAGGTCATTTTTGTACTAGTAAAAAAGGCTTATGAGGTATTACATTAGATCAATGGTTGTTCGCACTCTTATGGTTTTATTCATTGAGTCATTAAGTCGGATACAGGTTGTTCTTGGATTAGGCATGCTATTTTGCAAAAAAAACAGATCCAATATATATGTGCCAACGAGAATTTGCCTTGAATGCTTGCCTAATGATCCTATATTTAAACTTGTCAACATCTAATAAACTCATATATTTTAATCGGTTTTTTATGTCTTATCAACTAGACCATGTTCTATCTGACCTTTTTTTTTCGTTTTTTTAATCATTTTTACAGGTTTCCAAACTTTATGATGTAGTGCCACCAATTTTTGTGGAACTTGGTAAGAAGAGTTATTTTTTGTGTTTATATCTTTGAAATAAAAAAATGTCAAATTTTTCCCTCTATTTGGTCTTTAACTAACATGCATAGAAGGAAATGTTTTATTATTAGGAGAAAATACATTCTGGAATTTCCTTGTAATTGTTTGTATCCTTTTATGCTCCTTATAATTACTTGTTTCCTCCTTGCTTCTTTGCCAAGTTTTCGCTATACTTATGACTTTAATTAAGTATATGTATTATAAAAGGGCATAAAGAGGAATCCTACAAACTAGAAATGAATCATTGGCATTGGACACGAATTTTGGGTATTTTACAAGGTAATTATGTTAGATTGATCAGGTTATAGGAATTATAAATGTAAAAGTATATTTTATTTTCAAGTATATATCTTTTATGCCATAATTTTTTGTGCCACTGTTTGGATATAGATTTAACCTAATATTGTTATATCTAATTATCGATCAATAGATCCTTTTCGAAAAAAAGTTATTTTTTGTTTCATTCGTAAAATTTACTTTTCGTTGATGGAGATTTGCATTATCGTAAATGGTATTTAGTTGTTGTGATGTGCAGAAATTGGAAGTAATTCAAATGTGGGGTGGTAACCGAAGAGATCCAATCGAAAAAGTGAAGAATTTTTTTTAGACAAAAAAGCGTGCCGCGAATACATTTATCGTGACTCAAATTAACTTTTTTAATCACAGGTGACGACGCGACCACTCCTTCGCGCCGCGAATTTCAAACACGAGCAATGAATTTTTTTCTATTTCACTTTTTTCATGGGTTTGGCAATTGCAATCTATTGGGCATTTCTTGACCCACTTACTCTACCAATTTGGTGACTTGTCCGACTCGATCCACGAAGTGTAATACAACGAGGTATTGTTTTGTGGTGGTTAAGCGGAAGAGCGGATTCTTGCTAATCTTGACTAACTTGGTCACTTTTGGTCTGCTTTCTAATTAATGGTATAATAAATCAAAAGAAATAGTCTGATGGGTCCCGAATGTTTGTTGTTAACAAACCACTTCTTACATGCGAAAAATTGAATCAACAAATCATATAAGTGACGTCGGAACATAACACTAACTAATATTGATGGTGGAGCGTCTACTATTCGAATATAAATATTTGGTTCCTCATCCCGGCTATAATGAGTATAGTTGAATTTATTTTAATTTGTTTATTTATTTTAATTTTTATTTTTCTTATCTTTTGTTATTTTAATTTATATGTTTGTTTTGTTAATGAGTCACTTTTTGAAAAAGGTTTCTGTTGAATAATCAATAGGTTCAATTGGCCCAATTGAGTGTAACCATTAGTAAAATCAAAGTCTAAATCATAGCAGAATGAAACCCCAAAATCGCTTCTTTTATGCGACGTGTAGGGTCAGACTTTTTTAAATTTTTTGCGACTGAATACTGGAAAATGTTGTTCTGTTTTGGTAGTTATTTTTACATATTATAACCCGAAAAAAAAACCATCAAAGGGAATAACAAATGAGAGATTTAGACGATTCTAATGACCGCCAATTTTAGAAATATCTGCAAGAATCTAGGGCGCATTAGCGGGACGCCGCCGATGATGAGTGATATTGTTATCTACTTTTGTAATCTTTTTAATTTATTTGCTATTTGAACTTGTTTATTATTTTGGTGTTTTTTTTAATTTATTTGTATTGTTTGATGTTTGTTTAAATATAGTTTGCACTATAATTCTCTTGCATGTTTAGATTTTTGCAGACATATTAGCCTTCGCAAGCTAATGTGAAGTTCGATGATTTGGACACATTAGGAAAAACTCAGAAAAGCACGAATCTTATGGCAAATTGGTTTTTTAGGAAAAATGAAGGAGTTGACATCACATAAGTGTGGGGTTATCTTCCAAGGAGCAGAAGACATACCTTACAAAGAAAGGAAGACGATTGCCTAAAAAACACAAGTTGATCCGAAATTTTTTTTGAAGAAAAATTAAAGGCAATGTACAAATCATGTCGCGACTATTTACTACGCGCCGCGAACATTAAATCTCTCCAGACTACTGCTATTTTATCGCAATTCTTCACTGATGTTGGAACGCATGACTTTCACGTACAAATCTATGGTTCATCATGTCGATAATACCCCTCAAAGAGTAATAATACATAAGGAGGAGCTATGATGAAGAACGAAGCTTAAACGAAGGAGAAGGAACAAATGTTTAGTGTGAAAACGAGTTGAATCCTTATTATTCATGCAATAAATGTGCTTGCCACTAATTGGAGAGGAAGATAAAGCTCAAAGAAGAAGACACAACTCGCTTTTTGACAACTCGAGTCAAGTCTACCATCTTTTCACAAAGGAAAAATGTGCAGCTTACTGCATTCCACGATAATTAAATGAAGAAGGTGTCACTTCTCATGTAAACATATGAGACACCACAGTTCAACCAAAGAAGACGTCCGAATTACTCAACTTTTCGCACCTTCCGAAAAATAATACAAATTCTAGCAAATCAAAGAAGTTCCAAAATTAAAGATGAAGTTTTCATCAACGATATGATGTCCTCAAGGTAAATATC